GGGGTTAAGGGGTTTGGGGGTTAAGTAGTCTGTGAAATCTGGGGCCCGCTTCCTTGGAATCCCTACATGGAACAACACTGAAACGTGGAGCAACACAGAAAGCACCTCAAAGAGAACTCCGAAGGGCGTAAGCCTCAACGAAGCTGAATAAGCCAAAACGGCTCTCATCCATCCGTGTTAGGCCTTGACGCCCCGCTCTAGCTTAATTTGCGGGTTCCCCTGCAGGATCCTTTTAGGTTCCAAACCTAGGGTTTAGGGCCTAGGATGCTACAATCTTATGAGGAAGAATGGGGATCATCTTAAACATGAAGCAGGTTTCTTTGCCAGCCCAGGTTACTTACTAAGAGGAAGATGGTTCTAAATGCTATAACCCTTATTATTGGTTTAGGGTGTAGGGCCTAGGGACCCGCAAGAGGGGACCCCTGATTTTGCGAAACCGCCCGTGTGGCCTCGCCCAAGTACACGAACGAGAAGACCAGCTCAACCTCTGCATAGCAAGTGGCTTCTTTGGTCTTGCTTTCCCTAGAGACCCTAGGCGAGACCCTAGGGAGATATACTGATTCTAAGGCAATTACACGGGTCCATGTTAAGGAACCCTAAACCCTAGAGTACATAGGGATAGAGAATGCAATTCCGTATCAACTGCGCAGTCCATGTTGGAAACCACTATGTCTGGGCCTTGGCACCATCTTGGCAGTGGACTTACTGTTCTGCACTGCCAACATTGAAACCAGGTTGCTGCTAAGGAACTTAACCTAAGTTCCCATAATATGCGTATATAATAAGTAGTAGCGTTTTCTTATTAGAGTAACTGAAGTTAAGTTCCTTAAAGGCAACTCAGGAAAAGCCTAGTTAGGCATATGCATGACTGCTGTATTGCCTACAAGGCCGCTTGTGAAGCGAGGTCTGGGCGAAATGCTATAATGTGTCAGACTGTGAGGGCCGGGCATATCCAGTCCAAACCTGGGAACCATCCAAGTTTGCGCATGTCCAAGCTACACAGGCAACGCGCATCCAAGGACAGAGGCCAGGGAATGCAAAGGCTCTTGATGCGTTGCCAAGCAACCGGTGGGTCACCCCAGTTGTTGAGATTGTAGGCTGACCTTTGCCAGCAAGACTTGAAGGGTAGCAACTTCTGCTCAACTACGGGCATGGCAGAGGTTAGTTGAGGATTGCGTAGACCTGCTGAAGGTTGTACCATCAATTGCACAACCCTGAACCGCCCAAACTCTAAAACCTGCGCATTTTGTTCCACAGCACTGGAGTTGCTGTCCGAGAGGCTCAACCAGAACCAGCACCTTAGCCAAGCATCATGACAGCAAGAGCTGCGGTAGCATGCACTTCCTTTGAGGATCTGCTAATGTAGACTTGTGAGTCATAAACCTCCTCCTTTTAAGGGTCTTAATGTTTGGATCCCCTTTTTTTGAGAGACAACATGGCAAAGCCAACATCTCGAGCAAAACTACGCAGCCCTACACCCAAATCAAAACAACTATGTAGGGGAGGGCTTTTATTAATCAGGGGTCTACATGAGGGTGCTTTAAGCTCTGCTTGCATGACAATTCAACTACAAGGTCTGTCCTAAACCTTGGGTACTGCTCCCCCTCAGTAACAGTTGGATAAGAATCATAATATGGTCATATATAGCCCTTAATAGGACCCCTAATATAGACTGTTACTGGGAGGGGGCAGTACCCAACCTTATCCCTAAACCCTGGCCCTGGGCTCCCATCTTCCAACCTTCCAAAGATCCTAAAAGATTTGATGGTCTCCTAAACTTAAGGGTACCTTGTTGAGGGCTTAAAGGGGAAATATAAGGATACACACATATGGGGTGTATTACCTTTACTTAGGGTTTGGGGGGGTGGTCATTCTGAAGCTTAAAACTTTAAAATGGTTAAATCAAGGAAACTTGAGAACCCTAAGTAAAGGTAAGTTTATATGGGCTTTAGGGTTTAGGGTCAAGGGTTTCGGGTTTTCCAAAATTAGGGGTACCTTTTTGTGGTCCCTTAAGGACTATATAGTATGTTGCATATTTGGGTCCCGCGATTTAGGGAAACTACCATTTGCAGCCAGGTACCAGGTTCAAAAGCAGCACGCTGTTCATAAGCTTGTCGAAGGCAGGCGTTTCCTGCAGGCTGTGCAAAGGAATCTTATAATCTTGCGGGTCTAAACCCTAAACCCTAAACCCGAAACCCTAAAACCCCAAAACCCTAAACCCTAAGCCCTGATACCCTAAAACCCTACAACCCTAAAACCCTAAACCCCTAACAAGGAAGAGTACAACCATGAGAAGCGAAAATACACCATGCCTCCGGCTCCGTGACGTAGTGCTTGAGCCTCACAAGCTCTGGGCACACTGCATTGGGCTACATAGGGGCTATATGAGTAGCGTTTTTTTTGGTGGTTGAACCCAGTAAGAAAAAATCCGTATATAAAGTACTATACCCCAAAAGGGGGATATAATCTTACTCTATATTGGGCACCATAGTACCCCCAAATAAAATACTACTCATATGGATTTTATATAGGGCTAATTACAAAGGAGTTGTATGGGTCTTATATAGGGTTACGTAGGGGTTGGCCCCATATTGGGTTACAAACGGGTTTTGTAAGGGTTTATATAAGGTTACATAGGGGTTGGGTTGATATTGGGTTACGGAGGGGTTGTATGGGTTTAGGGATCCAAAGGGGTTATATGGGTTTGTTTAGGGTTGCATAAGGGTTAGGTATCTGGGTTGTATATGAGCTATAGTCTAAACTCCTAGCATCCCCCTTAATAACCCCTATAGTAGTGCCCTATATGATCCCTTATATACCCCCCTTCTAGGGGTTTAGACTATAGCTCGTATAGGGTTACAAAGGGGCTGTATGAGGATAGAAGCTGCCCAACAGCTTGAGATCAGCGAGGATGACCCTTCAGCGCATCTAGGGTTTAGGGTTTAGGGCTCAGATTTATCCAACCATAAGCCCTAAACCATAAATCCTAAGCTGCCAAGGCTTCCCTTGTCCAAAGCCTAGCTTCAGAAGAACATGAACTTATTGGTTCTTAGTAAGGAGTACGGAATACGGGAATATTATAACCCCTGTATAATTCCTAGATTAACATATTCCCTTATTCCTACTAACCCCCAGTAAGACATGGATGTTGGTCCTTTGACGAGAGATCTTCAACACCTGGGCTCATTACGTAAAGGACAACCGGATTCGTCCTGGAATTGCATAGTTTGCCTCTAGTAGTAGGCGCAGCTGCTTCCTCAAACAGAACCCCCTCAAGAAGCTATTATGACTACTATTAGTATTGCTATTACTACTGTTATTGTTACCAGTGTTCTGACTAGTATTACTACTATGAATCTTAATATTATTACTATTCTTATATAAGCAGATCATTAACACCAAGAAGCATCTGGCCAAAGGGTGAGCGGTGTTCTGGCTCCTGCAGCAGCAATGCATCGTTGCACAGAATCCTAAATAGCAGTTTAGATCTTATTCCCCCCCCCCCCACTATCCCAGTACCCGAAACCCTAAACCCTTAAGCCTATACATATACATACTCCATGTTGTTCTTCTTCTTCTGCACTCATCCACACTGGTCCCTTCCCGTGCAAGCTCAAGGGAGGGATGCCACTCCCCTAAAGAATGATTTCCATTTTCTTTTCCATTATCCCTATATAAACCCAATATTTACCCTATATGATCCCTATATAACCCCTATATTACATAACCACTATGCATGCAGAACGTGTTTGGTCACCACTGTCAGGAGATCGCCGACTCCAAAGTCAGGACTGGCTAAGGTGTTAATGATCTGCCTATATAAGAATAGCAATGCTACTACTGCTAAAAATAGTAGAATAATAGTAGTAATAATAATCGTAATAACAATAGTAATAAAAACAGTACCTGGAAGCACAACCATTACGTCTGGAAGGGCTCCGATCAGGCAGCAACGGGCAGTTCCCACTGGCTCTTTTGCAGCTAGCTGGTGAACACCTGCAAGGTGAAGGGAAACCATCGCCTAAGAATCTAAGCGCGTGCCCTTACTACCAACGAAGGCCTTCCCAAAACAATATGACCCCTATATACTATATAGTAGTTTCCATTTTCTTTTCCACTATCCCAATATAACCCCATACAACCCAAACATTACGCACTGTAAGAATTGATGCACCAAGTCAAAGCTATTGTGACAGGACCACGGTCAAACTTTGTGTCTGGCTGCGCCAAGCTTCAGCAGTGTCACGTCCAGTGGTCCCCACCCAGCTAGCAACATGTGACCAGCAGCTTCTGCCTCTTCTTCTCCTCTATGGTTTGGGGATGGCAGGTGCACATACCAACACCTGTGTCTCCCTGCTGCTCGCAGCTTGCGCCCGTCCTGCGAAAGCAACCTTAGGAGCAAAAGCTGACAGGCGCGTCGTCGGCTGTTCAGATCAAACATTCGCATGGGTGCCTCTCAAGGTTACCATGTATGTTGCTGATGAGCTCGTGATTGTTGGATACAGTAAGGGGGGAAGCTCTCCTTCAACAAAAACTAAATGGGAAAGGCTTTCTCAATTTGAAGTACTGCAAGATAACTACAGAGAGGAACTTTACGGAATAATCTTGTATTCAGGCTTCTACGAAATAACTCAATGGCCCCGACCTCTTCAATCCAACAAAGGCCGAGCTGCATGTCGCTCTCCAACAGGAGCGACACCTTGCAGAAGTTGTCCTTGGAGACCTCATGCTTCAGGAGTTGAATGATAGCGATAGTAGGTTGTAATAAGAGTGACAGCATTCATCGCAAGTAAAACACTAACTGAATGATCCACATGCAAGCCTTCAGCAGAGACAAGGTGGCAGAAGTAGGGTAGTTCCAGGTAGCTGTGAACTCACTATAAACCCTAAACCCTAAATAGTAGTTTCCATTTTCTTTTCCATTATCCCAAAATAACCCCAATATAACCCTATTATAACCCTAAGGAGTACTGTAATAGTAATCAGAGCATGGAATGCTTGTCAGAAGATATTGCACAGATCATCCCACTCAGGAAGTGGCACCACCAAGTTCGTCGTACCTTGCATCGCGGTTGCTTAGCATGGTTTCATGGCATAATTGTTTTGACATTCCAAAGACAAGTACCGAGTTTCACCCTTGATAAAAAAAAACTTGCCCAAGTTATGCTGTATGTGCTGACAACCTGTCACCTGATAATGTCTATCTGACAACCATTTCCAGCACAGAGAGCCCGCCCCCGCTGAAATGCAATAATTTGTACAGTCCCAGCCATCAGCAAAATCCTGCCAGGCTGCAACGCACCGGCGAAATGTTTGGGCACAAACTGCATCGCTGGAGACCTGCGGGAGGCAGCAACAAGGGCACGAAGGCTCAGGCGCCGGCATTGCGAACCTCTGACGCGAGTGACCACCCATCCATTGCCTTTGGTTAGCTGGGAATCAAGGAATGGAAAAGAAAATGGAAACTACTACAATGGGTTGTATAGGACTACTATAAGGATCCATTCCTTCATTCCTAGCTAGCCAAAGGTAAGATCCAGCCTACTGAAGACGTTCACGAACTCTAAGAAAAGCTCCTGTGCAGCTGAGGATTTGCCTGCATTAGGGGTACCTTTTAGGGGTCCACCCTAAACCCTAAATCCTAAATCCTAAACCCTAAACCCTAACCCTAAACCCTAAAACCCAAAACCCTAAACCCCAATTTTGGGAAACTCCCAGCTTAACAGGCTGAGGCGACAGTCCAAGTGCAACTCTGGGGCCGGCTGGAGCCACAACATGAGCGTGCACACCCTAGAGAAACATACTCTACATGTACGCTACTAATAGAAATCATAGTAGTAATACAGACTACTAATAGAAATAATCCTAAGAGTACTGCTACTACTAATAAGAATACTAATAATAATCATAGTAAGAATACTAGTAACAAGAATAGCAATAATACTTGAATCATCATGGCAAGCTGAAAGGAGCAGCGGTCCTTCGAGATGAACTCACCGCCCTGCTCGGCAGCACCAGATCCATCTACAGACCTCCAGCATGCCGTCGGTTCATGAAACTGCGACTCATGCGCTTCAAGAGTGGCAGGCACCCTTACTTGCTTACTGACCAGGGACATGGTAGTTTCCCGAAATAAAAGGGACCTCAATATCGAACCTAATACATTCTAATCCTTATTATGGGGACCCCAAATCCCTAAACCCCATCTATATACCCCCATATATATATATATATCTCCCCAATAACCTCTTTAAAAGGGTACCCCCTAATTCTGGGAACCCCCCCCCAAAAAAAAAAATCATCCCCATAGATGCTATCCTCGCGCCCGGCCTCAGAGTGTCAAAGGCCGCTAGAGTGCCTGGCCCAGAGCACTTCGAACTCAAAGCTTTGTAGGGTATAATAGGGGTATAATAATGGAAAATAAAATGGAAACTATTGGGATTATATGGGTTTTTATTGGGGTTATATAGGGATTATATAGGGTTTATATAGGGTTTATATTGGGGTTATTTAGGGATAGTGGAAAAGAAAATGGAAGCTACTATAGGGTTTTGGAACGGATTATATGGGGATAATGGAAAAGAACATGGAAACTACTATTTAAGGCTTAGGGTTTGGGACTTACCTTTGGTTAGCTGGGAATGGAGGAATGGAAAAGAAAATGGAAACCACTATAATGGATTCTATAGGGACTACTATGAGGCTCCATTCCCGCACTCCTAGCTAATGAAAGGTAAGTTCAGCGGTTGACACTGCCACGACAGGCACATGCTCCCTTGCTCAGGAGCAGCTGACACCTGCATGCTCAACTATGCTGAGTTGTTGTTAAGGAACTGAATTTGAGTTACCATATTGGGGAAACCGTCTTACTTACAAAATATACCCGCTATGGTAAATTAATGTAAGTTCCTCAACAGCAACCCAGTATGCCCATGGAGGCCACCTTTTGGAAAGCTCAAGCTCTAGGGATCCTAGAGACTCCGGCAGGGTCTGCTTTAGCAGGATTTGTCGGGAGCTGCGAAACTTACTGCATTAACTACGGAAAAGTGGCCCTCCAGTGTCCTAAGACAGCCGAGGGTTTGAGCGTTCCACACTTTCACAGTTTCATCTGCGGAAGCGCTGGCTAAGAGACGCCCATCAGCAGAGTAGCTTACACCAAAGACCTTCCCACTGTGACCTTGCAGGCTGGCAACGCGCTCGCCTGAGAAGGCATCCCAAACACAAACTTGCTTGTCTCCGAGTGCGGCTGCCAACTGCGTTTTGTCTGCCGGATTCCAGCATACCGCGAACACGTCAGATGAATTGATTAGGTTTTGCTGCACACCACAGGTCTTCTGCAT